AGTGCGGTTTGTTAGCTGTAGCAACACACACCGTAAAACGTGATTTATTTTAGATTTTGTTTCCGCTTTATAATCAAATTCAAATTTTATACACTTTAGTGCGAATTGCTGGTACTATTCTTTTTTTTTTGTTCTTTGTTTTGATTTTGAGTTTTGTTTTTGCTGCTGGGTAGGTATATGGAGAAATGCTAGACTTTATAGTGAATTTCAGCCTGGGTTATTTAAAATGATACCAAATCGGAAATTTGTGAAGTCAACCCAATATAAGTGGACAAAAAGACATTAGCAATTGCCAAATGCATCGGAATGAGAAAAAGTTCGGAAAAACTCCTTCCAGAGCAAAATAAGAAGAGCGATGGTCCAGTTTATGATTTAAATATTATAGATAAAATATCAAATAAAGGGAGACGTTCAGTATCAATGCACCTCCCTCCTCAGCTGCGTTCGTTCGTAAACTTTAAATGGCAATCTAGATGGAACTAAAGCTGGAATGGGCTCATAACTTTCAGGTTTATCCCGGATGTTACATTCACCACGAATAATTCCGATTTTAATTTTTTGTCTGCATATAAGGAATTTGTTGGCCGGACATAGGTCCGTCAATTCATTTCTGCATTGGAGAAACCTTTCTGTCACAGAAGCGTGTACGTGAGGGGCTGCAGTCGAGGGCTGCCTGTATGTGTGGGAAAAGTGTCATCAGTATGAGAATCCCAGAAATCTGGATTCCATGGGTATCTCCAATATATGTCAATGGGCAATGGGATGTAGACGCAAATTCTTCTCTAACTCCAATCATTTTAGTCTCAGGGAATGTGTAATTTCAATATTCGTAGAGCGTCAGTTTAACGTAGGACGTCTTGTAAATAATGAATAGGTTCGCGCATTTAACACGGAGGTTACCTGTTCCAATGGGACAGAAACTGGTACTAACTGGGTTACGAGATCTGGGGAATCTCAACTGTCTGTCTCATCATCAAAACAAATCGTTTTAAACTTTGTCGGGAGAGGTGAAAAGGCATCGCTCCTCACAAATGAGAAAGATACGTCCATGTTAACGTCGTAATTAGACCTCAGTGAAGCACTGATCCTGTCTCAAACTCTCTCTCTCTCTCTCTCCCGAGTTGTATGGAACAAAAACAGGTAGAGGTAGTTCCAAAACGATCGGATGGAATGTCAGAGTCCCTTGATAAGAAAATCCACACTGACTATAGGCGCATATATTTACCACGGAGGGAGACCTGTCCAATGGAACAAAATCAGAAAGCAAATCGATCAGACAACGATTGTTTTTTTCTGTTGCGTATCCCAGGGAATCTCAACTATTTGCCTCGTTATCACCACAGATCGTTTTAATCTTTGTCGGGGGCACTTCGTTAGCCAGCAGCAGAGCGGTTGTATAAGACTCGCTCCTCGTGGTGAGAAAGCTACATCCATGTAAACGTGGTCACTAGACAGCTCCATCAGTATAGCACTTGCGCTGCACCAATTCTATTCCCTAAGCATGCCTCAAACTTTCTCTCATTTTGGGTGACTAGTCTTGTGTTGTATAGATTGAAATAGTTTCGAAATCTGATCGGAGTTAGTGTCAGGAGCCCCTAAATAAGTAAATCTAGCCTAACTATAGGCGCACATATTTGCTACGAAAGGTTGTTTGATCGATGGGACAAAAACTGGAAGTAACTCGGTTACGAAATCTGACCACAATTGATTTTCCTCGTAGAAAATCCCGGGGAATTTCAACTATCTGCTAGTCGCCACCACAGATCGTTTTAATCAAAGTCTTGGTGAGAAAGCTACATCCATGTAAACGTGATACCTAGACTTTTCCACCAGTGTAGCACTTGCGCTGCACTCGTTCTTTTCCCTAATCGTGCCTTAAACTTTCTCTCATTTTGAGTAACCTGTCCTGTGTTGTATGAAACAAAAATAGGATGTAGCAGTTTCGATCGGAGTTAGTGTCAGGAGCCCCTAAATAAGTAAATCTAGCCTAACTATAGGCGCACATATTTGCTACGAAAGGTTGTTTGATCGATGGGACAAAAACTGGAAGTAACTCGGTTACGAAAACTGACCACAATTGATTTTCCTCGTAGAAAATCCCAGGGAATCTCAACTATCTGCTAGTCGCCACCACAGATCGTTTTAATCATAGTCGTGGTGAGAAAGCTACATCCATGTAAACGTGATACCTAGACTTTTCCACCAGTGTAGCACTTGCGCTGCACTCGTTCTTTTCCCTAATCGTGCCTTAAACTTTCTCTCATTTTGAGTAACCTGTCCTGTGTTGTATGAAACAAAAATAGGATGTAGCAGTTTCGAAGTCTGACCAGAGTTGATGTCAGAAGCAACTCTCTGACGGAAATCTCAACTCTCTGGCCTCACAGATCTTTGTCGGAGCATTACTTCCTCCTCGTAGTGAGAAAGCTACGTCCATGTAAACGTGGTTATTAGACTGCTCCATCAGAGTAGCTGTACCGGTTCTATTCCCTAATCATGTCTTAAACTTTCTCTCATTTTGGGTGACCAGTGCTATGTTGTATGGAACAAAAACCGACAACAATTCATTAACCTGGTAGGGAACCTTAACTCCCTGCCTCGTCATCATCGTTTTATTTGTTTCGTTTTCATTTTTGTTTGGTACACTTCGTTCACCAGCATCGGATTCATGCCTTTAACTTTCTTACATTTTGGGTGACTAGTCCTGTGTTGTATGGAATAAAAATATATTGAAATAGTTTCGAAGTCCGATCGGAGTTAGTGTCAGGAGCCCCTAGATAATTAAATCTAGCCTGACTATAGGCGCACATATTTGCTACGAAAGGTTATTTAATTGATGGAACAAAAACTGGAGATCTCAATTAATCTTTGTCGGGGACACTTCGTTAGCCAGCAGCAGAACGGAAGAGTTGAATTGACCTCGCTCCTTGCAGTGAGAAACCTACGTCCATGTAAACCTGGTTAATAGACTGCTCCACCAGTATATGACTTGTCGTTCTTTTCCCTTATCATGCCTAAAACTTTCTCTCATTTTGGATGACCAGTCCTGTGTTGTATGATATAAAAACAGATAGTAGATGTTTCGATGTCTGATCGGAACGAGTGTCAGGAGACCCTAGATATATAGATCTAGCCTGACAATAGGAGCATATATTTGCCAAGGAGGGTTACCTGGAGGATGTGACAAAAACTGGAAGTAATTCGGCTACGAGATCTGACTGTTCCCTTTTCGTGCCTAGAGTTGTATGGAACAAAAATAGAGTGTGTGTGAGTATGAGGAAACCCGTCAGGATCTGACTATAGAGAACAAAAATAGGTTGTAATAGTTTCGAAGTCTGACCGGTGTGCATGTCAGGAGTTCCTAGATATGTAAACCTAAACGCTATAGAGAGGCCCCTGTTTTAGCGCAATGCGGCGTCTTGAAATTCGTTTCGATGTGGAATTGTCTTCTCAGCTGGGTGCTGTGACCCATGGAGCAGCAGAGATATAATATAGTGATCACTCATAGATTTAGGGAAGATAAACCTCGATCTTCAAGGGTTGATTGAATGAAAATTGTCGGAGGACTCAACAAGTTTCTACCGCAAAAACGACCTAAAAAATTGATCCTGGCCACAGATTACACAAAAGTTCCTAGATATGTAAACCTAAACGCTATAGAGAAGCCCCTGTTTTGGTGCAATGCGGCGTCTAGAAACTCGTTTCGAGCAGCAGAGATGTAAGATAGTCATGAATCTTAGATCTTCAAGGGTTGATTGAATGAGAATTGCCGGAGGATTAAACAAGTTCCCACGGCGAAAACAACCTCAATAATCGATCCTGGCCACAGCTCAACTAAAGCCAAACAAATATTTTTAAAATCTACCAATTATAGGTTGCAGATCACTTTTGATTATCAATTACCAAGAACTGAGTGGATATGAAGGCCAATTTAAGAACAAATACCTTAAAAGCCTTTTCAAAATCGGTCTTCCGAGTCAAATTTATGGAAATTTATCAAATAAAGATTTCAGATCACGTTCGACTGGCAATTGTCGTCAAAATTGAACCTTAAACACCGAGAAGCTTGTAAATCAAAAAAAAAAAAAAACAGAATAAAAAAAATAAAGAAACTAATGCAGAAGCAGTGAATACAGGATCAAGTCTCTTTTAACGCTTGACATCCAATAACCCGTAATCCTTATCACTCATCAAAGAAACAGGAGAACAACTCCCTGAGGCGGAGAATCCTTCTTAGAATTACTGTCTCTGAGACGCAGTGATCTGAGAGCATCCAACTAACAGTCCCCTACGGGACAGAAAAAGAAAAATTTCATAAGAAAGTCAGATTCGACAGATATTCAAGACCCTGGTCATGAGCGAATGTTCAGCGAAAGAAGGTGGTTGTTTATCAAAGACCGTCTGAGCGATATTGCTTTCTCGAAACATAGAGGGGAAGGGAGTGAGAGAAATATCGTGTTCATCCTGTTCGACAGGATTTTTCTGTGAAATCTTCGAGAAAAACATGATCTCACTTCTGTGACATTTTATGAGATTCTCTTCGAGAGAGTTTGTGGCCCAAATTCTCGCTGTCTCTAGTCTTGGGCCCGTTGAGTGGTCAGATGCCGACAAACGGTGGGAAAAAAGTACATCGCTCTGGAATAGATGCGACTCATTCTCTCAAGGACATCTGTGACATTTTATGAGATTCACCTCGAGAACGTTTTGTTAGTGTGGTTACCCAAATCCTCGCTTTCTCTTGTTTGGGAGCCGTTGACTGATCAGCTGTAAAGAATGATGACCTTGTCATTAAAACACCAACACTTCGGTCTGGAATGAATTCGACTCATTCTCAACTTCTTTCTCTCGAGGAGATTCATTACGAGACATTTTCATAAAAAAAAATAATGTACGAGAACCATTTTCAGTTCGAAGTTTCACCCGCCGAAGCCATATATGAATTCCCCATAAAATCAAAGCAGAATAATATAAAAATTTTCAGGAAAAATCTCATTCCGACTTACCACATGAACACTGCTTTGCAGATTGCTGGACAACATTGTTGTGGCGCTTTCTGTGGGTTTCTTCTCCGTCTTTTTGGCCGTCCGCTTGTTCTTGCTCTCGAGGAAGCGTTTCTGCAGAGCACTCGTCTCATGATTCTGTGCCTCGCACACCGTGCTGAATGTCTGTTCGTAGCGTGGCACACAATCGGTTTGACGGCGTCGATAATTTTCCATGCGGCGTCGCAAACGTTCGAACATTTGTTGGCGTTTCGGTGGCACAATGTCACCCATGAGTCCACCGCCCTGGGGCGAGGGCACGGCATTGAGGCCGTTGTTGTTAAGGCCCTGAGACTGCTGCTGTTGTTGCTGCTGTTGCGAGGGCATGCCCGAATTTGTGTTTGTTTGGCCAGAGCCGCCAGTTCCGTTGCCGCCAGGTCCAAGGCCGCCGCCAATTGCGCATCCTGGACTGGAATTTGTTGCAGCATTTGATTGATGATAGGGCGAACGTTGCGTTTGTTGTTGCTGTTGCACCTGGATCTGTTGCTGTTGCACATTGTGAACGTGTTGTTGCTGTGATGCCTGTAACTGTTGTTGTTGTTGCTGCTGCTGCTGTTGCAAATGTAAGCTGATGTTTTGATGTTGCTGCAGTTGTTGTTGATGATGTTGCAAATGTTGCTGCTGCTGCAATTGAATATTCAATTGATGTTGCTGGTGTTGTTGGTGGCGTTGTTGTTGCTGCTGCTGCTGTTGTTGTTGGGCGGCTGCCTGATTGGCGCTCTGGTACACTGGAAGACCTCCTGCATCCATAAAGAACAAATTTTCCTCAACGTTTTGTTGCTCTTTGTTGCTGCTGCTGGATTTTCAATTGGGCGCCAACTATTTATGTGTATCTAATTATATTCTGCCAAAACTTCGCCGTGGCGTAGAAACGAAGTTAGGGCTGTTAATTTTTTTAATAAATTGTAAGTAATTTTTATTTTACAATTTCAATCATTTGAGGTTTTGTTCTATGTTGTAGTAGTTTCTTTTTTTAAATAATACTCTAGGTTGTCTTTGGGCAAGTTGTTTGTTTTTAATATTTTATTGAAGTTTCTTGTCTTTTTTTCAAGATTCTTGGATTGCTTCTGATTTTTCTTAGGCCGTCATTTATTGCTTAGACTTTGTCTTGTTTGTTTTGACTTCCTTTTTTAAGAAGATGTTCCTCAGTCCATTTTAATCTTTACTCTGGCTGGGAGGGCGTCTTATTTATTGTAAGCTTTACTCGATATATTTACATTGAAAAACGTACATGGTGGAAATATTATTATTGTACAATTAGACGTCATTTTTTTAATATCTGCAAAATAAAAAAAAGTTAGTTACACAGTTATTGGGTGGATACATTTTTCGAAAAAAAATAAACCAGGCTATCTTTATTGTGGACAAATATACGATATTGAAATGATTTATTAACAGCTTATAATGATCTTTTTAAAGCTACTTAGAGATTTGTACAGGGTGAGATACAAAAAATCTGCAACAAAATCAAACGCCATATTTTTTACATTTTTTTTTTTTTAATTTTATTGAATGGAAGCAAAAAATGTCGGAAATAGCATCAAATTTTAGAATAAGTTTAGATTTGTTCGAATTGGTCACTTTTGGCACGAATTATGGCTTCCAAACGGCCAATGAAACCGTCACACGCTGCCCGAATGTTGCTCTGCGGTATTTTGGCCTATTCCCGGCGAAGCGCTTGCTTGAGGTGATCGACACTTTGGTATTTTTTAGTGCCAACCTTGCTTTCCAAAAAACTCCAGACACAATAGTCCAACGGATTGGTATCCGGAGGTTTTGATGGCAATTTTGCGCTAGAAATGAAGCAAGGAACCCCATTTTGTAACCATTCTTGGCGTGTGCTGAGTCCTGTTGGAATGTCCAAGGTCAGCGGCCAAAATTTTTTCTGATGCCACGGTCGAATATGCTGTTATGGCGGCCCACACCACACCATGGTCGGCGCTTGAGTTCTGGTGACCAACCGAAGGTGCACACTTTCAGCTGACCTCTTTGGCAAGTAAACACGACCATTTTGTTTGTTTACAAACTGCTGGACAACGAATGTTTTCTCATTGGAGAAAACAAAATTCGGCAGTTCAGCACTTTCGGCCAAGCGAAGCAACTGTTATTTTCTGTTGCGGTGTAAGTTCTTGCACTTTTTGGAATTTCAATGGCTTTACCCAGAGCTCATTTTTCAACATTTGACGAATGGAATATTGCGATGTGTTCAGATCATGATCCATTTTTCGGCCACTGTGACGCGGGTTTCGATCAAGTGGCTTCTTTACTTTTCGAACCATTTCTGCTGATGTTGCTGTTTTTCCGTCCACTTTCTTGACGTCAGGCTACGCTACCAGTATCATGGTAACGAAGGATGGTACGAGACACCAAAGATTTATTCACATTTAAATGCTGGAGTGCTCTTGTGGTTTTCCAGCCAAATATAAAGAAATCATACTATCACGCTTAAATTCCATCACGAATAACTTTTTTTCTGGAAAGTTCTCACCAATATGCCTTTGTACGCTTGTAAACAATATAATCAGCTGTCACTGGAATAACTTTAACAGCTGTCGGACGAGTGGCTTATAAATGACAGCAGTCTGAAGTTGGTTGCAGTTTTTTTAAATGGTTTAGTAACAGCTTTAAAGCTAGTAATAGATTTGTACATCGACTTTTGCTGTTGTTAAGCTCATACGCCGTTCGCAAGTCGACACATCCGAGGATAGACCTTTAGCCTCCAGTCAAGAACTGGATCCTAGACAAAATTATAGCTGGTTTCAACCAGCAACCAAGCCGTTTTCATCGATGATTGATAGAGAACCAAAGGCAAATTGCTCGGAATATTTGAATCGCAGCAATGCACGAAACCAAGCTCAATTAAACCTGCCTTTCTGATGCAGAAAGGATCGCACCTAAAGTGAAGGTCGGAGATTACCGTTCTTGTTACACCACTGTGTTCAATACAGCCCTATCTCTCGCTTGAGCTAGTCTCTAGTGATCCATCCATGGAATGTATGGTGGTAGCAGTCAAGTGTAGGACTATCGAGGTAGAGGTGCTTAATGTGTATATCCCGCCGATTAAAAGCTGTGAACCGCGTTATTTGCCAACAATTTTAATACCTGAATGAGTTGTGGCATTCCGTCCTAGTTAATGAGCGGAGGAGATCAGCGCAGGAAGAACATATTGACTGCTCCACATTCTGCACGGTAAACGTGGCCACCACCCGAATAAGAAGAGAATGTAACAGTTCACAAGGCAGGAACATCCGTTTCTGTTTCCCAGCGGAGACACGCGGGACCTGCAAATGAGCGAGATGATATCATCGTTCCAAACCTACTGATCACAGAATCAGTGAATTGACAGTGAAAGTTAACCGGTTGGTACTGGAAACATTGGAACCGATATGAGGTAGCTGTGGGTTACAGTTAAAACGCTCTCGAACCTCTAAAAAAATGATAATATGACGTCAGTCTCTTTCAACGACGCAACGGTGGCTGTCAGACCCTTTCCTGCCGAGGAGGCACCACTACAGTTTACGATGGGTGATTTTGCAAATGTCATCCGAAACGCTAAGTCATCCTGATCGTTAGGGTTCAGACAGAGTCTCAATGTGGAAACAGCTGAATACGCAGGGAGTTGAATACCTGACAAAAGTTCCCAACCTGTCGTTAGCCAGCCACATAGTTCTCGAAGCCCTGAAAATGGGCCTGATTGATGCCGCTATTGAAGCCAGGCAAAGATGCCAGAAAATGCAAATCTTACAGACCAATTTCGCTTGTGTCTCCGTGGAATCCCGGAATAAGAAGCCCAAACCCCGTAGAGTGAAACAGTGATATAAAAATATCCGCCACTAAATCAACGGCCATACTCTTTACCACATGGTCTGCAAAGATGAGAACAGAGCTGAAATATAATACCAGGGGTCACAGCTATCAGCAACAAAATGAAATATAGGAACAAGATCCTCAAGGCGCTAACCGGCAGCACTTAGGGTGCGGACAAGTAGACGTAGTTGACCTCTTTAGAAGTAGATTAACAAATATGGGTATTATTTTTGAAATTAGACTGGCAGTTGATGTTGGCCCCCTTGTGGGAGCATGGCGGTGGCTGTGATTCATACCCAATTCGGGAAGAATGTGGAGTTGTATTATCATCCGCGTGCCTCAACCATGGAAAGGCAGGGGGTTAGATAGGCTCCGCTCCTAACCAAGGAGGTAATCACGTCCAAATACGTGCGAGCGAATTGGTACTCACTTTTGTGAGGCTGTTGGTAAACGCATTGTATTCAGCCGGTACTAAAACCACTGTGAGATAGACCGCAAAATAGAGGCTCAATTAAAAACCACACACAGGTATACCGATGTTCATTTCCTACATCAAGTGTCTCGTTTCGGCTTCTTTTAGAAATAATATTGTGGCAGATGGATTTGATCTGGGAAAAGGTACTACAGTGTCTAGTGACTCAGATTCTAGGTCCGTCCGTCTGCCTGTATGTGGAAATCACTCTAGCTTCCGAACGAATTGAAGTAGGTTCATAAAATTTTACTCAAATGTGTGTTTGGTCTGCAGGAGCTATGAGGATGAGCTATAAGGTTAACGTTTAGGTATATCCCCCACTTAACTGTACCTCCCAATAGTCGGTATTTTGATGATGTTAGCGACATTACTCACCGGAATGGTTTCAAATTTCGTAATGCACTTCGTAATGGGTACTATAGTCTATGACAGAAAATAATCTATGCTAGTACAAGTCTTCTTATAGCCCCCATATAACTGTACCTCACTATATCCAGTATTTTCGACATTACTTTTCGGAAATATTTCAAGTTTCGTATTTGAATAATACAGTGGTTTCTATTTACCTGCATCAACATTAGCTGCGCATTGGCCTTTGCAGACCAAAAACTTTTTTTATGCCATTTTTTTTTTTTTTTTTGAATCCCTTTATTTGAATTGTATTTAAGTACCCAATCGATAGCTGCACATTGGACATTCCTGCCTCGAAAATTTGGTAATTTTTTTTAATTTGGTTACAAAAGTTGTATTTATCTGCACAAGAAAATTTTTTGCAAACTCAAAAAAGACACTAAAAACTACCACTTCGTTTTTGTTTTTGTATTCGCAAAAACAATAACAACACAAGAAAAGATCATGCATTAAAAACATATTCTCGCTTCCTCTCCCACACTAAAAGATGGTTATGTTGGATAAAACACCACTGATGCTCAAATACATACGAATAGAAAATTAAAGATACCTGCACTTTTTGTGCACGTAAGTAAAATTAAAGATACCTGCTTCATTGTGCAGATAAATGCAATGAAGCTACCTGCATTTTGGGCATTGCTGCACAAGTTGTCGTGCAATTTTTGATTGTGCAGGTAAGCAAAAAATACTGTATAATGGCAACGACAAAAATTGCCTGTGCACATCAACGTTTTGTTTGGACCTTAATATAACATTCTTAAGATTTTAAGCGAATTGTTTACGGTTTTCTTTTTTTTAAACTTCTAAATTTATTCTATTTGGTGGAGGGTATTCAAAGTTCGGTCCGATTGAACATACTTATTTTTTACTTGTTCTTTATAAGATTTCATAAATAAATAAAGGGTTTCTTCCAATACAAAGTATTTTGAAGATTTCAACTTTTAATACCTTGTCCACATGCAGGTACTCAACGATATTATTCATTTAAAATTCATTGATTTTTTTATTTTTTATAATTTTTTTTGTTAACATTATTTTAATTAAATTCATTATTTTTTCAGATCGAACGATTAAACCCTGAAATTGTTGCTCGAATTTTGATACATATGTACATCCATACATACATATACAGATATGTACCAATAATGATTTTTGTTGCGACATTTATGACCGATATTTTGTCAGATATTTCCGCATTTGTTTCAAAAGCCATAAAAAATGTCAAGATTTGAACAAATTGATAAGAATCAGTTGGCGGTCGTGCGTACATGTTCATGTATTGTTCGCCATATAGTCGAGTACGTATGAATGTACATACAAACAAACATACACACTTATGTATGTAGGTATGATGACACATGGCATGAACGGTCGGTTGGATGGCTGTCTGGCTGGTTGGTTTGCTGTTGATCGGTTGGTTGGTCGATGATTTGGTTTGGTTCGAAGTCAATCGAATCTGAAGGCATTGAAATTAACAACAACAACTTGCGTTCGCTGCTCACTGGCTCGCATGCGAACATCGAAATGAAAACATACAAAACGAGAAGCGAAAAGCAAAACAAAACCGTGAAAATACAAAAATTACTTTG